TTTTTTTTTTTTTTTTTTTTTTTAACTGTGAAAAGCGAGTTCCAATTCGAAGCAATGCGATGTCAAAATAGCTTCATCTTTCCTGTCGAGACGGGAATGAAGACGGTCAGACGAAGAGAATTAATTCGATTCTTGTTTATCTATGTTTAATCTCTAAAATAAATAAATATTAAATTGTATACAAGTAATTTATTACCGGGTTTGTTTTGTAACAAACCCGGTGGATATTGTGAAAAATTGAAAGAATTCGATGGAGGAAGTGATTTATGTAGAATTTTCCAGGAATGAGGAGATTACACGTGAAGTCATTATATCCGTAGAATCTTGTTGTAAATTTTCAAAATTTTAACTTTATATATTTTACCTTGTACATATATGTGTATATATATATATATTGTATTTTTCGTTGGAACGTTTATCATTCTTTTTAATTTTCCTCCTTATCTCCATACACAACTGCTATAACTGCGTATCATGATTATGCGTAATTTTTGTAGTTAAGAAAAATGTATTCTTTTCCATTATCGAGTAAACATCGAGCATAGACGAATGTTACATCATTCGTAGTTACTTGCAAGTTTCTCACTGTTGACTTGGAAATTTAATATTTTACTCGGTGAAACCACCTCTCTTTTTTCTCTCTCTCCCTCCCAGTTTTACATTGTTCGTTCTTCGTGTCTTCGTTGATGAGCGATCAGATCGCATCTTCGTGTTATAATCTTCCAATTTCAAAGAAATTAAGATATCTCAACGTTTCTCTAAATATTTATGAAAAATATTCATGAATTTCATCAATTATACTTGGATCTATTCATTTATGTATAAGATAAATCTTATCTTAACGTTAGAACTATTAAAACGATTAAAATGATTGTTTTTATCAATTAAGAAATATACATATATATATATATATATATATATATATATATATATGTTAGTAGTAAGTTTTACAAAAATCAAGAATGAGCGAATATGAAGGTTAAAAATATCCCTAGATCGTGGCAACAGATTCAAAAAGTATTAATTATACTTGCAATCTTGATACATTCACAAATCCATTTGAAACAATCGTTTTTAATCATCGCGATTGGAAGAATATAAGCAGAAAATACGTCGTACTTGTAAACTTAGATAATCGGTAAAAAGATGATTTTTACCTGGAAACAGAATCCAATCGTATCGAATACATATTTCACATTTGTATTTCATGTTGTATAAATTATTTTGCAATTAATATTAATTCCAAAACAAACGGCGATATTCCCAAAGTTTCCGCTAGTTTTCTTGTATTGAAATCTTGTTGTTCGTAGATACGAGTCAGACCTTTCGACCTTCTTCGCGTTTATGTAAACACGCATTCGCATATTTTCTTTATTTCGACGAGGGAAATGTGGATGACCCGATTTTCCGATCGATACGATTTATTTACAAAGAATAATTTATGAAAAGATAAATTGCTCTCGAAACTTTGGATTATTGTCGATTCTTCTTCTAATATTCTTAATCTCTCGACGATTCTTATCTTAGAACGTGCGCGCTTGTCGAACTAAAATAAAAGAAACGAACTAAAATTAAAAAATATTAGTTTGACTTTAAAAAAAAAAAATACAGTGGAGTATCGATTATATTAAAAATTTGGACGTAAAGGAAAAATAGTGATACAATTGGATTAAAATGTATAAATTATTGAGAAAAAAATGAACGAGAACGATCACGAGAAAAATTCGAAAAGATAAAAAATGTTTACATACCGTCTGCATATTCTCACGTAGAATTGTTGTACAACGCGAAATGGAAAGTCATGATTTTAAACATTATTACATTATTGCACGTGTATCTTTTTTTTTCAACTCTTTTTTTTTTTTATTAATATTAATTTTACGATTATGTTAAAACGTGCATCGATGAAATTCAAATAGGAAGAAACATTGGCATCGTAATTACGTGCTATTCGTGTCTTTATCATTATTATACAATCTCTGTTACTTAACGTTATCTCATTTTACGAGATTGAATTTTGCAAGTCAAACGAAATTTATTCCTCGATACTTTTCATTTGTATATTATTTTTAGTTTTGTTGGATATGTATCTCGTGCAATTATGTCGTCGCATGCTTATTTATTATGTTGACGTATATTTTAACGGAATAAAAAAATGATAGTTCAAGTTAGTACTTTCGTTTATTGTGAAAAATTTATTTATTAATTTGTATTTAAAATTATAATAGAAAAAAATAGAAGAAGCTTTTCGAATTTTCAATTTTACTATTTCCAATTAGTCGAATAAGAGAATTCCTTGATTAATTCCTAAATAAAACCTCCCATTTCGGTCTCGAAATTAGAAGCGAAATAAAACGAGTTGAATCGTTCCGTCACGCCACATATATTTCGCTGCATCTCTGCCTCGCTTATTCTAACTTGAACGATCTTTATCCCACGAATTATTATTATAACTTTCTCTCCAACCAACCCGTGACACTTTTTCACTCGCGTTTCTAATACGATATTTAGTATCTACAATTCAGATACAGAATCTAAATCAAATCTATTCGATTCGATTACAATTAACCTAAAATTTTCGACATTTGGCACGAGACAAGACAAAAAATAAATAAAGAAACATCTACTAAAATCTACTTTGCCTTAAGAATAAACAAAATCTCTGTTCCAATCACAAAAAAAAACCGAATCTAGTAGTCTCTTCTAAAAAGGATCAAATCCAACTTTCCAACGACGATCGACGCGTCTATCGCGTCACGTAGAACGTTGAACGAGAAATTCGTTTCGTCTCCAGTCAACTGTGACGGCGCTAGCGTCGACTAGAGAACCAGAGATCTCGCACGGCGCAGCAGATTCGAAAAGGTCGAAGCATTTCAAATGCAAATAACATTTCTCTATTCGTAAGGGAATATAACGGCGGCCGGTGATTGTAAGGGAATCCAAGTGGGTCCAGTTTGGTTAACGTCGTTTTACGTTTGATAATTATTCGCATCCAGCGGCGTGGAATATCAAGTTGAAATTCTTGAAACTACGCTCGGTCCAGTCACGTCTCCACGCGTGTTGCATTCACTACCGGCTTCACTTTCTCCGATATATGGCTCACCGTCTCTCCCCCCCTCCCCTTTGGATCTTTATTATTTTCACGTCTATGCTTGCACGTTCGAGATGCTGAAATGAATTTTTCTGGAGAACGGTCTGGTAGAATGGCGAATGAGAAATCTCTCATAGATATGTGTATATTTCCAGACGATTAGGTTAATTAAGTTTCGTTTTTTAAAGCGAATACAAATATTCCACATTTCTCTAGAGTTTCGGGCAATCTCTGATGGGTTTTTGTACCATCTAGTATTTTAGTTTTTCTAACTTTAAGTCGAGGCAAGTGTAGAGCTTTGGATATTTTTTGGAAAATCTTCTCTCTCGTTTAAAAATATATTACTTCTTTTTTTACCTAAAAATATCAAGTAGAACGTTAAAGAAAAAAAAAAAAAAAAAAAGAGATATCAGAATGCACGGATAGATATTTCGAAAATTGATTTTAATAGTTGTGATTACGTTTCAAAGCAATACATAACAATTTATTTTACCTTGAATGCTAGATATCGAAGTGTCAACCGGTTTTTAAGTAGATAAAGTGTTTACGTGTCAGACACTGAATAAATAACTGTCAAACATAAACGAGTAACCGATAATCCAATATATAAACCGTGAATTTTTTAATACCAAATGTCTTTTCATTCAATCTAACAGATATTCCACGCGATACTAATAAAAAAACGAACGAATATAAAGAATATAAAGAGATCATTTTGATGACATGAAATAATATAAATATACGTTTAATTCGAATCGAAATTTTCCCTTTTACTCCGTGATCAAAAATTTAAATAGAACGTTGCTAAAAAATAGATTTTTCTAAATATTTCGATCGATAATTTTAATCGTAAAGAAAAATTTTTACATTTCACTTTTCTTCGCGATCTAATAACGAACGATCGAGAAGAAGGTGGATTCCACGTCGATCGGAAGACGAACCCAAGACGAACTCCTCCTCGAAATCGTGGCGCGGAGGAAGCTTGGCAAATATTTAAAACGGCCTTGTACGCGCCAGTTCCTGCAACTTTTACGTCACAGGTCAAGCACATAGGGGACACGCTCGCGCTATCGGTGCACCGTGCTTCCAGTTCGTTACGTAATCCCGCATTGATAAGGAAATAAAGTTGGTCGCCTTGACATTGCCCTCCTCGTAAATACGATTCTCCAGTTCTTCTCGCGCTTTGAACGTTCGAGGGAGGATCTCGAAGAACATAACCTAAAACGGTTCGTCGAAAGTTGACTCGGCGAAGAGAAAATTTGATAGTCGAAAATCACTTCGATGAAATAAGTGCAGTGGCAAAAGTTTTAAGCAACGAAAAGTTCGAACGTGTTATAATAAGTAATTAATTCGAAGAAAATTTATTCGAAATTCTTAACTTTGGTTACTCTTTCAACGAGGTTATGTTTATTCTTTAACCTCGATTATAACGTTATTAGATCGAAGGAAAATGAAATTTTTTTTGGAAATTTCCTACGAGAAATGTAAAAATTTTTCCTTACGATTAAAATTATCGATCGAAATATTTAAAAAAAGTCTATTTTTTAGCAGCGGTATCTCTATCGCGATGATGGTTGAGTTAGGTTAGGCATTTAGAAAAATGTAACGATTTAGATTAGATCGGATATTTCGCGACTCTTTTAGTAGTAAATACACATTGCACGACAGAGATAAAACTATTTCGCTCTCGTTTTAACTAATTTAAAAAATACACTCGTATACCCGTTTTAACTGATCGACTCTTCAAAGATCGTTCGATTTTATATTTATAGATTGGAAAACTTTGCCTCCTCATCTCTGTACACTGTGCATTTCTTATTATTATTATTAGCAACTAAGATAGCATCCCTCGTCTCGTTCCCGTTGACAAACTGTAAATTGTTACATCGAGTATATCGCGTCTATCTTCAAGCTGATTCACTCGATAATTGATACAGTTTACGTAATTACGAGTTGAATCCAACGTTATGGTAATTACTCATGAAACGGGCCTTTTTAGAGATAATTCATAGCAATTTTATATAGTCGATAATTACGATTATTAAAACCGAAAGAGATACACGGTATCGACGATAAAAAAAAAAAAAAGAAAAAGAAAAAAAAGTTTGAAATCATCGTTCATCTTCCATTTTACAATTCCATAAAAATTTTCCATTATTTTCCAAGCTTTCGAAAATTCTTCCTATTCACACTCCACCGCTACAATCCTTCTCCTCTCTCGAAATCTTTTCATTTATGAGCCGTAACATTTCTTCTAAATTTTTATATTTGTTCATGTATATTTGTTCTCGTAAGATTTTCGCCATTGTTGCTTTACTTCACGCCCTATTCTCTCTGGAAAAGCAATAGAATTCTCGCGCGAAGAGAGAGAAAGAGAATTGATCGGGAGAATTTATTGCGTAATCGCGTTAACGCGAATCGTAAGCTGGATGGAACGAGTCTCGTGTACACAAGTTACAGATGATTTTATAATAGTCAAATTGAACGTATTATATCATAGAAATACACACACGCACGACCTGCGCGCGTAACGAGTTGATCGGTCCCCCCCCCCTCCCCCTCCCCGATTACGTTGCACACGTTGTATTCAGATGTGTGCACAACATACGAAACGCGTTATTAAGTTTTTGCGTTGATATATATATTACGCGATGGAATTTATTTTTTGCGTTTCCTCGCATTCTGCGATTTATTCTTCGCTTGTAATTCATGACATCGAATCGATTTTCTTTTTTTTTTAATAGTCGGTAACACACTATTGTTAAAGGTATCGTTTATAAATTGCTATTAAATTACGAAGAAGATATTTCTCTCTGAGAAGGAAAAAGATATTTTTAACGATAAGAATTGTGGAAAATTTGGTCCTCTATGGACCAAATTTCATTCATTTCATTTGAAATTACTTTGAAAAAGATATTTTTGAGAATAAGAATTATGGAGGCCCTCTACAGGCCAAAATTTTAACTAATTTCTTCCTTCGAGAAAAGTCTTTGTACNTAATATATATAATATAATATAATATATATATAATTTATATAATAATAAAAATTTTAACTTCCTTCGAGAAAAATCTTGGTACAGGTTACTTTGAAATTACTTTGAAGATAAGATGAGAATGATAAGAAGAGGCCCTGTATAGGCCAAAATCTAAATTTCTTCTTCGAGAAAAGTCTTGGTACTTTCAAATTATTAAGAAGATATTTTTAACGATAAGAACTGTAGAGGCCCTCTATAGGCCAAAATCTAAACTATTTTTAATTTCTTTCTTCGAGAAAAGTCTTGGTACTTTGAAATTATTAAGAAAATATTTTTAACGATAAGAACTGTGGAGATCCTCTACAGGTCAAAATTTCAACTAATTTCTTCGAGAAAAGTCTTGGTACAGATCACTTTGAAATTACTTTGAAAAAGATATGTATAACGATAAAAATTATGGAGGTCCTCTACAGGCCAAAATCTAAACTAATTTCTTTCTTCGAGAAAAGTCTTGGTATTTTGAAATTATTAAGAAAATATTTTTAACGATAAGAACTGTGGAGATTCTCTACAGGCCAAAATCTAAACTAATTTTTTCCTTCGAGAAAAGTCTTGGTACAGATTACTTTAAAATTACTTTGAAGAAGATGTTTCTAACGATAAGAATTATGGAGGTCCTCTACAGGCCAAAATCTAAACTAATTTGTTCCTTCGAGAAAAGTCTTATGGTACAGGTTATAATAATCGATCCTTGACAACAATGTTATTTATCGATGAAATTATGAAATGGAATTACGAATTCGTATTTTACACTCGTCTTTCGTATACACGTATCTGTTCCGATGTATGGACAATGTAAAGCTCGGTGTATATAAAGCTGGTGATGGTTTGCGAATATCACAATAGGTTCGAGGATACAGATGTTCAGAAACGGACGAGGCGACGTATTAAATGAAAAGATTCTAACGACCCTTCATTCCCACCTGACACTCTTCCATTCTTGTATCGATACTATCGTAAATACGATAAATTGAATATATATATATTAGCTTTGACCCCCATTCAATTTTATACAATCAATGTTATACAAATATATTTTCACGCGGCTTTATTTTCCAACAGTGCTTCTTTTGTCATTTTCGTCCGTTTGTAGTATCAAATTTTCTTTTTTTTTTTTTTGATAGTTAATATATAATTCGAACGAAACATATTCTCATTTGATCCATCTTGTGGTTTAACGATACTATTGGATATCAAAATTGGCAAAAAAAAAAAACACTCACACAGAATAAATATACACAGTCCAATAATTACTTACAGATAACAATTACAACCAATTTGCATCGAAAACATAATAGAAAGTTTGTAAACAAACAAAAAAAAAAAGAAATAAGGAAAATTACCATTCACGTTCAGAATACGAAAAAAGTATAAATACGGTTTGCACGGTATTATGTACACCGCGTATACTGCATGCTCACCTACCACACATTTTCGTGCTTCTCACCGAGAACTCCAGTTGAATTCCAGTTACGTAAGCTTGTACCGACAACAGTACAACAATTTAACCACGTGATTATATAAACGTCATCAAGCCTGCGCCTGACAGATTATGTCTTGTCGCCGACATCCCCTATCGTCGGATCGGCGAGTCATAAAAACGGCTCCTTTCTTTCCCCCGACAATGAACACGGTGTACACGGTGTAGAGTATCGAAAGTAACGAGATAAATGCGATGGAATTATTTCTATTATCTTTCTATCTTCAAACGAAATTTTCGAGCGGATTTAAATCGAATTTCAAGTTTATCGAAGGAAATTTTTAATCAGAATCTAATAAATTTCTTAATTTTTCTTCCCTCTTCATTAAAATAGAAAAATATGAAGATTGAAAAAGAATGTAGAAACGTATACGTAAGAATGTTTGGGCGCTAGCAGTGACGTGGCGCTAGTGTCGTCTAACGTTAAACATTCGTCCACGAACTGTGGCTACATTAAACCGTTTGTATCTTAAAAGTGTAATGCGTTTTAACGATTAATATACTTAATAGCGTTAACACATTCATTCATACGATACGAGAAATTTTAAAAAAGATGTACGTTCTGTACATTTAATTACCAAGATAAAACTAAATATCTTGTTATATCTTATGATAACTTATTAACTCGGTTTACCGACAAATTTTCGCGCGATTGCATTAAGGTGGATACGTTAAAGCACGTGGGCGTTTCCATCGACTTGTTCCCCACGATTGAACGCCGCGCCATTGTAATAAGAAGCTATAAAACTGTGCAATTTTTATCTCCACGTTTCTCTTCGCGTTATCGAGATTTCAGATCAGATGAAAGATAGCCACTTTTCACGCGCCAGCGAATCGACTCGAAATTTCCGACTCTGCCCCGTGATAATTTTGATAAACGACAAAGCGGAGTATTTCAATTGTGCAACCTGTTGTGATTTATCGATCCTGCGTGAACGAATGAAAATGAATAATTGTAGAATAAAGTCTTATTAATTGACGAGTTAAAATTTACGATATTTCTTTCTAAATTTGTTCCAAGAATTTTTTGTCAATCTTCATATTTTTCTACAATGAAGAGGGAAGAAAAATTAAGAAATTTGGATTCTGATTAAAAATTTCGATTAAAATCCGCTCGAAAATTTCGTTCGAAGATAGAAAGAATTTTTTGTTAATTTATTTGTCAGCCATTTATCAGCGTCTAATTAACGATTTCGTACGTGCGTTTTTCCCCCCTCGACTTTGTTTATCGAGAATCGAAAAGTAAAAATACGAACCGGGCTTCTTAATTTATACGCCTTGCGTATTCTTGTTTCGTTCACGTCTGACTGGGCAATTCGGTGCTTAATTAACAACTTGTATCGAGCCAATTATAAAAACGTAACAATGATACGAAAAGAAATGAGATCCGCTAATTTGTCACGCCGTCAACATTATCGATCAATCTTTCCTCCGCAGCTTCATTTTTCGCAATATTTTCTTTGATTAAACTCAATTAAAACTAGGAAATTAGTTGAATTTTACGACTAATCAATGATATTCTATTTTTAATGTAACATTCTGCAGCTTCGTTTTGTACAATATTTCCTTTGATTAAACTCAATTAAAACTAGGAAATTAGTTGAATTTTACGACTAATCAATGATATTCTATTTTCAATGTAATATCTATTTCTTTTCAATTTTATCCGAAATATCTGCCATTACGTATCTTTGTTAATAATCGATAGAAAATTTTCTTTCGAGGAAAATACAACGACAAAGAAAAAAAAAGAAAAAAATAAGAAATTTCCTCGACGAGATAAAATTCTTAAATTTTATTTCATTAAACCATTATTCGTATTCTTTTATAATGTGTGTATATATATATATATATATATATTCGTGTAAATTCGAAATGTTCGTAATTCGAACCACGCACGTCGAATTTTCTGCAAATCGGGCAAAATTCGAATGGTTCGTTATCGCGAGTATTAATTATTAATTTATCCTCCTACAAATTCTAATATACATATTATTTTAACAATTTAAAGTAAACGAGAATGCATAATCGAACCTTTTTGTATTGCAGATAATTGGGCCATGCAGCCAAATGAAGGGTCAAGTGGGACTGGTCGAGGTAGATTTGAGGGTATTTATATCACTTTTCCCCTACAATTATACATTATTAATAACAACTTTCTCTCTCGATCGATAAATAATCCAATTTCCAATAAATTGTATCAATAATAATTCACAAGTTCAACGATCATTAGAAACAAAAATCTTCTTCTCTAGAAAGAAATATAAAATTGGTAAAAAGGTATAAAAATTGGCTTGCACAATTCAGAGAAAATTTCAGAGGAAAATAAACGCGTGAGGATACTTGGAATTAACACATTGACGAGGGAAACAACATTGGTTCGTTTTATATAGGAGCATAATTAGGGGACGAAAGAATACGATTTCACGGGTTCAACAGGTTGGGGGGCAGGGTTGGTATTGTGTTGCACGGAAGATTGACCAGTGTTATCTTACCAATCAACGCGGGAATTCTCTTCTGGTCACTCGAGCGTGTCCGGGAAAAATAATCGATACCTCGAGACGCCATTATTTCTTTTTTTCTTTTTTCAACCAAAACCAGGAGAATTTTTACTTTTTACCTTATTTACTCTTCTCCATTATAATGGATTGATATTACCGTGAAAATTAATAATGTATCGTAAACTTTGTGCAGATTTAATGAAATATATATACCGAAATTTGAACTAAAATAGAATCGTTCACTTTGCTTATAAAATTATATTATAAATATATAAAAATAATATATAAAAATATATTACAAATTATATTACAAAATTAATAAAATAAGATTAATAAAATTATACGTAAGATAAGATTAACAAAATTCCTCTATTTGAAAAAATGAAAATCGAAAATCACGAGTTACACTCGTCCCAGCGATACGACAAATTCTATATAAATCTATATAAATTCTATATAAATCTACCTCTCTAAAACGTGCTGCCGCTTCTTACACCCGCTTCAACTATCTCAAAAAAAAAAAAAGAAAAAATTCACCACCGACACCATCGATGCTCGATCATCACCGCGTCCAATATCCAATATCTCTAACTAACCCGCTTCCGTTCGTCACATTTCCGGATTAACAGGGAATTTCCACGATCCCATTTCAAAAATTGACCGTGTATCCTATAAGCCGATTGCCCAACAACACTAACAAAGGTTAAGGTTCTCAAAACTCTTGCTCCAACAACCTGCCCGATATAATTGGACGATCTGCAGCTGAACACAACACCGATAAGCTGACGACACCGATCCGAAAAACAGGAGGGGAGGGGAGGGGGACTCGTGCGAAATCAGCCTCGTCGAATTAATCGAGCGAGGCTCATCCCTCCTCCTCCTCCTCCTCCTTCTCCGAAAAATCATCGCTAATGAGAGTACGCCCCCTCCCCCTTCCTCCCTGTGGTCACTTCAAACGGTCCACGTCGACGTCCGTGGATCGAAAGGGGGTGGGGGGGAGGGATGGTATCGATGACAATTATCGTCCGCGTTACAAACGGAAATCGGCGCGTGCACCACCTCCTCCCCTCTCCCCCCTCCGGGGATTACGTAGATCGTAGCAGATCGGGTTTGGATTCGCGTAATTAGCGTTAATTAAACGCGAACGTGCGCTTGGGAATGTTGGCGAGGGGGAGAGGGAGAGAGAGAGAGAGGTTTTGGGGAACAACAATTGGGGAGGGGGGAGTCGCGTGAGGCATGGGACACGTGTCGTAGCGAAGAAAGTGGATCTCTTCGATTTTTGAATTGGTTTGGTTGTTCGAAGGGGGCGCGAATTTTTATTGGAGAAAATTTAGAATTTGGGATTACGATTTTTGTAATTGGGTTTGTTGTATCGTACGATGTGATTTTTTTGTTTTCTTTTTTTTTAGAAAATTCCATTATCGCGAAAGACGTGTAATTATCGTTAAACTTTTGAAAGTAAAGACAAAGGCGAATTATCGTTCACTGAGGAAATAAAAATAGATAATGCTTGTAACTTCGATAAAAGAGCTTCGATTGCTATTAAAGAAATTTCCAAGTTCTTTTCCATTATGATAATCCAATTTTTATAGTGCAAAAGTAATGATTAATACGCACGTGCCTCTTTCTAATAAGATGGATACACGGAAGCGTGGAAAGCTTGCTCGAACTGTATGTAAAAAAGAGAGAAAAAAAAAAGAATAATGATAAATTTCTTAAAATTATTTAAAACGCGCGCGCTAAACTATTTTTTTAAAATAATAAAATTTCTCAAATTCTTATATCTATTGATTGCAAAAAAAAAAAAGAAAAAGAAGAAAAAGAAAAATTGTTGTAAACATACAAGTATAAATATTTATCATAAGCTTATCAGATATCGATAAAATAAGAGAAACTTTTTTCATAAAACACAACCACCCTCGCGCAGTTTCCCTTCTTCGAGTTGTTTACAGGAAGAGTCTTTACAACGAGTTCGCAAACGTCGATTCGACGATTTTCTTCGATGAATTTCGATCGTACGACAACGTAAAAACACAGAAACGTAGTATCATCTCGAAACGTCCGAGAATTTTCAAGCTTCATCAATTTCACTTTGCATTTTAAATCTTTTTTTCAACAACAATTTAGAAAACTTTGAAAAGTTTCTTCTAAATTTTTCTGAAAGAAAAAAAAAAGAAAAAAACGATCAGAAAAATGGGATATATTTGAAAATATATCTCTTTCTTATTATTCCTCTTCCATCTTTTTCGCGTTTTAATTTTAAGAAATATTCACGCGTATTTATCGACTCGATGAAATAACGATTTCTATCGAGCAGCACACACGCGTACACACACACACACACACACACACACACACACACACACACGAGCACATACGCACACGCGGTGTGAAATATGTTGGTATTAACGTCTGGCCCGAACAATTCGCATTTAGCCGGCTTCCCGTGATAGATATCGGGAAGAAATTCCTTAAAATGCATATATTTTTAAAGGTGACGATGTCTCGAGAGCTCGAGTGTCATGTGTAAATTCTTATCATCGAAATGTATACATTTGCGAGAGATAAAGAGGAGCGAATTATGGACAAAATGCAAATGGCGTGCGAAAATACACAAATAATAAAAAAAAAAAAAAAAAAAAACAAAAGGATAAAATAATTTACAAGACGCTTCATTTACCCAATTGTAAATGTAGTATATATAGATATGAATAAACTTATAAAAACGAGTAATTTAAGGATTAAATGTATATATTTTATATAATAAAATGTTAAGTCTAATCAAACTGATAGCTTGAGATGTATTGCTCGATTTGAACGATTAAATTAATCATTATGATCTTTGAATTCGTTTCGATTTCTATTGCACAAGATTAATCCTCGCCTTTCACCGGAACCAGAGTAACCCTCGCGTTAACCTTATTGAAACTTTTCACCCCTTCGAAGGGGATGAGACCCTTATTGTCCGCCCTCTTCCTTCGAATTTCGAGACAACCGTGAACGTTTCCACAGCCTACTTTTTTCTTTTCCTTTCTCTCCTATTACACCCCTAAATATCTTATATATTCGCTATATAAGGAAATCCAACACTGATCTTGATGTTTAACATTTTTTTTTTTTCTTTGCATCATCGATGTACTTTCATTACAGCTCTCAATAACCATACTTTCTTAACTTAGCTTTAAAATATTAAATTTATTCATATATATATATATATATATATACGAAGCAAGAATTGCAATGCGAAAAAAACGTGTAATAATCGTAATTTGTATTACAAACTTTGGAATGAATAGAAAAAAAAATGGAGACGATCACACGAATAAGATGATAAGGAAAATGAAGAAATTTGTACGATATAATTCGACTCGATTATTAGTGTCATACGAGAGATAACGGCGAATGAAATTAAAAGATATCGATGTGATTTCTTAGCGTGTCGTATAATACGCAGTTCTCGATGCAAACTATTTTAATATTAAGCGTGTCGATCAGAAAAATAATAATTTATTCGTATAATAAATACAATTATAAAAATATACCTTTCTACCTAATTTTCTACCTTTCTAAAACTTTGAAGACCAATTTCGAGCGATTCGGGACGAGGAGGCAGCGCGTGAACGTTTATTGGTCTCCTGTTGCACCTTCCCAAGGGATTAGACCTGCGTATGATGGGTCCCGATACTATCACCGAGGTGTAGGCGGTTTCAGTCACTCCCACTTACGCCTGCGACACGCAACCGGCGTGGCCTGGTCCCATCCTGTTTCGAATTTACCGCCAAAATATTCGCGAAAATATTTTCAAGTTTGAAAATACCCGCGAAAAACGATTTCTCGTTGTTGCGAGCGATTAATGGTAAAGAAAGAAAGAATAAATAATTAATATAAAGATAAAGAATAAGATAAAGAATTTTCACGACGAAATAAAACAATCGATGATTATCTTTGAAAAAGTTTCGCTATTCTACCTCAAAAGATACCGAGCGATATCCCTTCTCCTCCTCAAAGTACAAGCATTGACTTTAATAAATCGGTTTACAACTCGACGAAATTCGACGAAAATTAAACGTATTATATTTATATAGCGCGCATTGCAGCAGCAAACTCCACTTTAATTCTTCGTAACCAACACACAATAGTCGACACCGAACTGTCGATTCGCGAAAGCGACTGTCGAGAGAAGGAACACGGAAGACGCCAAAGGGAAAGTTGACGGAGAAAGAACGCGAGAAGCAAGGAGAGCGGAGAAAGAGAGAGAGAGAGAGAGAGTTTAGGTAACTCCCACCTGTGTGTGTGTGGCAGGAGAGCAAGCACGTGGTCCGGCCGTGGTTAATCCGCGGCGCGGCAGGATCTAAGCATCGGTGTTTCTTCCACTTCCACCACGGTCCGGGGTCCACCACCACCGCCCACCCGCGCTCAGTGTTCGTTGGCCGTCTCCGGGTGAAGAATGCGCGTGAGTTCGCAAAGTCGGTCGCCGTTACCACCACCACAACCACCACCACAACTCTGTGGAACAGTAGTGGCACGGTAAACGATCGCGAAGGTTGCCGGCACACGCGTTGTGGGGTCCTTTCCTCGTGCACATCGTGTGTGGGTCGAGGTGGAAACACACACAACCCCGCCGATCCGCGCCTTTTTTCTAATTTCGTCGGTAAGCACGTGGCGTGTGGTGGTGTAGCGCGTTCGAGGAACTCGGCTGTGGCACACGCGAGAAGAGGCGCGCACACGGACCTCGTCGTCATCGAAGAGACAACCCTCGAAGCACGAGGGCATTGGCCGAGAAGAGGGAAGGCGAGAGGCCTTCTGCGCTCATCGAGGATGCCGCCGCTTCCTCGTCGTCGGCGACGACGTGGATGTACGCGCTTCTCGGTAAGCCCGTCACGACGACGGCCACTAATTTTATTGGAGGATCGTGGATACGTAAAAGCGTGGTTTGCAACGTGTGAACAAGTGTCTAGACGAGTGGCCGTGAAACGTGAAATAATGATATACAAAGCATGCTGGAATTTTGAAGGATTCGTGGAGAGAGAATATAATCTCCCGCTTCTAACTTCCTTTGTATCGGAACTATTAAACTAACAAATACAAAAAACACTATATCGTAAAGGATTTTGTTTTTTATTTGTGTGTGTGTGTGTGTGTTTCATAAGAACTGTGATATCTCTATTATAAATGTAAATACTTTGTAATTTACTTTGATGATCAAATGTGTGAGAAATAGTGAATAATCCTTTTTTCGTCATAAAGCTATTGTTGGCTATTTTCTAATCCTTTTTAAAAATATGTTCATCTTTTCTTAATTCTTCTGCTTTTGTGAATGTTAAATTATTAGCCGATTGGCTAATTTATTTATTTAGGGGAATCAACGAATAATAACAAGTTATTATATTATTTCTCATAAGAGATGAGATGAGGGGAGAGAGGTCGCCGGTCACCCATCCAAATACCGATCGCGACCGACGTAACTGCACTTTGATAATCGAAAGGGTACCGCTAGATCCACACGGCCAAAGAACTTTGGCTCTTTCTTAAGATTGAATCCCAATGTTTTGTTGCTGCTCGGGGATTCATCGAGTGTAAAAATGTGGTGTTGTTTTTTTTCTCGGAAAAAAAAAATGAATTAATTTGGTGGATTAATCGACACGTGTCAGTGAAAAAAATGTGCACCATCTTTCTAGGATGCTAGAATTAACTCGTGTCGACGAACTATGTGCCTCTGGATTTCCACGTCGCTTATTCAAGGTATCTCCCAAATTTCTTCATTAACATCACCTTGTCGCAACGAGTTCGTTCACGCGATAAATACTCGATTCTTCACTCGTAGGATCAGCTGATCATCCGGAAAAGGAAATTTCTAATCTCTTCTTCTTCTTCTTCTTTCTTCTTTCAACTTTTCTCGTCGTTTATTTATCTCTCTTTCCTCGTACTATCCTCTTTGTTCTTTTCAAGTTTCGTGTTTCGAATCACTCTCTTCTGATTCGATATGAAATTATCTTCTTATCTCGGCCTTGTTATTACACATCCTTTTCTCAATTTCCCAAGGTGAATCGAATTGCACATATTGCTCGAAAGGATGCTTTAGACAGAAAATCTTTGTTATCCAATTTTTTTTATTTTTCTTTCTGTCTTGCATAATGATATATCGATTAAAATATTTATCTATTATTCTCCATTGACCTCCATAGATACAAAAAATAAATTAATTGGAATATTCAAAGTTTATTGTCAATGATTCGAGCATTAAGGAGTTAATTTATGTAGCTGACAAATGGGATTTGTTAAATCTTATTTAATTTTTAATTTAATCGAAAAATTAAGTTTATCATCGATTTTCTATTAAAAAAAAAAGTGCAATTCGATCTGCGTCTGACCATTCATTTTTTTTCTAAATTATTTTTAAACTTGCAAACTTTTCAGATCTCGTTTCATCATCGTACACATCTACTAAATATACACTTATCGAATATCAACCGTCCAGTAGTGAATTTCGATACCGTGTTTTAGAAAATGTTACTGAACGAATGATTCGAAAAAGAAAAGTAGACGCGCGCGCGTGTGTGAAAGTATTTATCGATTTTCTTTTCTTCTTTTTTTTTTTTTTTTTCAATTTGAAAATGCTCGATAAATTAATCGTGAGAAGATCAAGCGATGAAAACGTAGATAAGGGAAACACTTGAAAAAAATCTTTTTATCACCTCAATATACAAATGGAAGATTCTTCAGATTGGAGTCAAAATAGAAGAAATCGAGAATTGGAAAAATTACGTTGAAATTTCCAATATTGAATTTGAAAATTTTTTTATTATTATTATTCTTCTTGATTGAACCCATATTTCCAATTTCGTTTGGACATTTCTTTCCACGTAACTTTATTTTAATCATAAAGTTGCTTTATCAAATTCAAATTTTGAAAAAAGGATTGAATATTTAACGGATTGACGGAAAGACGTGTTCTTATGAAGAGAAAAGTAAGAAACATTTTCCACCGATGTTTATCACGAAATTATACCATCATCGTAAGGATAATGATCGTTAATTTTTCAATTTCAATACAAATCCGACGTAATTTTCTCCTAGAAATTTCGATCTTTTCTTCCATTGCATAATTAACAATATTCCGAATCATCAGAGATAATTACCATTATTATTCCCTGATTCGAATATTTCGATTCTTCTCATCGATTCATCTTCATCAACTTTTCAACCTGTTTCCTGGACACCGCGATTTAAAGTCGCCGACTTACTTTTCCTCGAAGAAATACACGCATTCATAAATATCAAACGTTTAACATTTGCAATAAACACACACACACACACACATAAATCTGGAATTTCAAAAAAATTCCCTGTTCGAACTTGTGCTCGTTTCTTTTTTATCTCGCTCGAGAAAAAAATTATTATCGAAATCAAACATTTATTTAGCATCCCGAATATCGTCGAATCGAATTTCCAAGAATTTCATTCAAACCTGAAGATTCTATCTCGTTGGATAGATCACGCGCGGCGATGTTTCGAAACACACCATCGTCCGGCAACGATGAACGAAAATGAATGATTCTTCGAACAAAACGCAGCGATGTTAATCACATCGCGTTACGTCATTTCGGTATCGGTAAAAGCGTTCCACGTGTCGTGGGATCGACACGTAAGCAAGCTGTTAACGCAACGGCTCGAACGTGTGTTCGAAATGTCATAAAAATATGAAATTGTCTGTCGGCTGAGAGAGAGAAAGAGGCGCGATTAATGCCTCCTCGACTGTGACCGCCGATCTTACCCGCTCCTCTTCGATTCGTTACCCGTCTAATCATTATAATTCTTCCTCGAGCGATCGCGAAATCGCGAGAAATTTATTTATTTGTTTGTCCCTTGTTACGAGACGAAATATTCGAAGGAAAAATCGGACAGATTCGAGAAAAATATTTCGAGGCGAACGTTGTTCGGAAAATAATTTCGTTTTTTCGAGGTTCGAATTGAAAACCAGTTTTCAAACACCGTTAATACACTTTCTCCATAGACTTGGCGTATCTTTTTTCTTCTCTGAACATTATTCTTACCTGTTCGATAATAAAAAAGTGAAATATGCCGAAGATATGCTCCTTTCGATCTTGCATCTTGCTATCATCGCACGAAAAACACAATCTCGCAGAATCGAACGAATTTTTCTTATAAATAAACCGTGAAATATATAAAACTCTCTAATATATTAACTCTCGAAATATGTAATAACAACACGATTTAGAACGAAGTTGGCTGGATAAACGTTCGACTAGCGACACTCGCGTGAAAAAACGAAACTACTTTCCGAACGATCCAAGAATTTCTGCTCTAGAGTGAAGTTGGCTGGATGAACGTTCGACTAGCGACACTCGCGTGAAAAAACGAAACTACTTTCCGAACGATCCAAAAATTTCTACTCTACAGTGAAGTTGGCTGGATGAACGTTCGACTAGCGACACTCGCGCGAAAAAACGAAACTATTTTTCGAACGAGGAGCGGAGAGAATGGAATAATTTTCTCGATTAATTACACGTTTTATCACGCACAATTCCAATTCCCTAGATCGGTATTAGGCGTTCAATCTCCTTTCTATTCAAGAAAGCTCTCTCCTCGTTCCATCGAGACGATAAACCGCGGCAAATAATTACGTAATTAAACAACGACTAGAATCTTACCGTAATAACACGAAATCTTGATTCGAGGAAAAGAACTAATATCCGATCGTCCAGTAATATTCCAAACCGATTCGACGATCCCATATCTCTCCCAATCTCCCATTAATCGATATTAAAAAATTAATTCGATTCGATCTCGTCACTCTTCCCATATTCGAAAACAGGATTCGCAAAAATAAAATTTTAACTCGTTCGAAATTTCCAAACGGAAAATCCAACTTTTTCCCCGAGCAGACGAGAGTCTCGAAAACACTCGACTTCCAAAATTATTGGAAAATTATTTCCAAAAAAGATCCCCCCTCCCCCTCGTTTCGACTCGTTCACACGTTGCAACCGCGCCTCTGAGAGCGCAAAAAGAAAGAAACTGGCTGGTCCCCAGAGGGTGGATTATTGGCGGACAGCGGTGGTGTCATGGGGGACGATGTCGCGGTGGTGGTCGGCGATGGCACCCGCGTGAACACCACCCCCCCGCCCCTTCGCCAGGCCCAAGAGAGCCAGCAGGATCATCGCCGCCGTTACCCCCGCGAACAGCCGGAGATAGAAAGGTATCGGGAGCAGAGGGAGGAGTTGGAGGACCTGTTGTGCTTCCAAAGGGGGCCCGAGCAGGAGATGGTCGCCCAGGATATGGCGCAGAGCTACGCTCACCTCCTCCACCAGCCCCCCCCTGGCCGGGAACACCAGCAGGAAGAGTTCATCTCGTTGGACGAGCTGCAGTCGAGGATCCATCAGGACAATCGAGGTGGTGGCCAGGTTCCCGCCATTTTGTCGGCGCCCGACCCCTACCAGCAACAGCAGCATCAACAGGGGAGTTACTATAGTCTCTCGGCTGTTCAAGAGTAAGTGGAAAAAATAAAAGAGAGAAAAAAAGAAAAATTGACTCTGTGTGTTGTTTGTACGTTCCAGTTGGAATATTTTCAATCAATTTTTTAGGTTTCGTTTTGTAAATAGATAAATTTTCGTCGCGTTTAATCATCGTTATTCGAGAGGAGAAAGAGTCGTAAGAAGAAATTTTATTCGTCGATCGAATCGGGATCGAATCGGTCTGATCGGCAGACGGATATGATGGGAATATGATGGTTTCGTGACATAACCAGACGCATAATAAGACGATTATCTCGCGTTGCTTTGGCTAGCCTCGAATCATCCACGTGATCTCGTTAATCGTTGCTGGATTCCTCGTGGATTTCGATCGCCATTTCGATCGAACATTCATACAATTTCTCGCTCGGTAAAAGAGATCAATTTTCCATTTTCTTTATCCGTAGAATAAATTCAATAAATTTAATAATATGAAATTTTCTTCAAACGAGATATCCATCCAATTACCTCAAATGGCAGAAGCCACCTACTTTTCAATTTTTCCTTTCTGTTTTACGTGATAATAAAACTTGAACGATAAAAAAAATCGCAATCGTACAAATTGAAAAGTGAAAAAAGAAAAATTCTAATTTTTCGAACGATCTTTTCTTTATTATTATTGATATTTTCTTTATTATTCTTTAAAATTATTATTATTGTTATTATTATTATTTTCGATATTTACAACAATGAAACAATGAATGAGATCACGCTCGACAGTTTGTCACGTGATTATACGTACGCGTCAAACAATGGGGAATCTCGAGGAGGGAGAAACATTCTTTCGCGGTTATAAATCGAGATTAATACCACACACTTTTCACGGAATACCATTTCACTAAACAACACTTGGGACGATGATATCGCTGTTATCAGTTTATTAAAAGGTTCACGGACCACGCTTCCCTCGCTTTTAGGTTATGTGACGGACGGAGTTTCGTTGAAAATTTCGTAATAATTCAAAAGAAAAAAAAAAGTTAATTGAGAGAAACCTAAGTAAAGTTTCGATTCTAAAGTAAAAAAAAAAAAAAAAAAAAAAAAGATTTCCATTTCTAATTATTTCCATTAAAAGAACACGCGTCACAAGAAGAATTTTCTTATAAACCGGTAAAAGGCGGCACGAATCCTGTCGATCGAGCAAGGAGATAGAAGATAATCTGTTTCGAAGGCGTGCCACGAATCCAAACCACGTTTCTTCCCAAGTTTCTGCGCAATTCCGCGCGAGGTAGAAAACTCGAAAAAGGGGTGTTCCATTCCGACTTTCCTCTTTCCCAACCGCGTCGAGAACCGATTTATAAAACAATGTTGCGCAAGGCGATTCTATATCTGAGAGTCCTCGAGAGCGGTCAGTTAACCTAACCTTTCTTTCGAGCTGTCAAATCGCTATCCTTTCGCGATGCACAGTCGTCTCGAATATATTAAAAGTCGTTCGATTGTATTTTCACGTTGTACACATTTTTTTTATGAAAATGAATAATATAATTTTAATAATTTTTTACGAAATGGATAAATTGCAATATAAGCTGAAAAAATAACTTTGAGCCCTATCTTTCGTTTCACAGGAGGAAGATTAGAAATATGGGAAATTGGAAATGAATATTGAAAGGTTTTTAATGTTAATTCGAACGGGATTGTTTAAAGGGAACGAATCGTGTAATCGAATCTTACGAGAGAAGAAATTGGACGAGGATCGTTCTCGAGGACGACGGCGTAACTCGCTTGGCGATAATTAATTGTATTGGAGATGAGGATGATGTTGCGGTATTAAAAACGAGCAGGCGGTAGGCAGGGTTCTCGAATGTTGTTGAAAGGTAAATGGCACGGGTTGCAAATGTGCATGGACGACGATTGCGTCTTCTTATATTTTTCATATCTCTCTTTTTTCTTATCTCTCTCTCTCTCTCTTTTTCTCCAAGTTGTAATCGTTCTTCTGGACGTTGCATATGGATTGTGAAAATATGGAAATGTTAGAGAAACGAGTTTCAGCAGGGGATCTGTTGCACTCGTGACGAATAAAAATGATAAATTATACGTCGGTACGGGATGTATTTTATAATTAGAATTGCGTGGAGAATTAGGAAAGAAGAAACGTTCTTTTGAAAAGAGAGAGAATTACAAAATTCGTTGAAATCCAAGAAAAATTATTATTGAAAATATTTGAATAAAATTCGACATTTATATTAATTTAGCTTAATTTTAGATTTCGAATTTTTTGACTCAACTTTGAATGAAAAATAATCACCCCTTAAACATTTTACAGGAATTTAAAATTCAATCATCGAACGAAATCTACTCCTTGAATTATACTCCGAAAGATAATTTCAAATAATTAATTTTACAATAATATAACACCTTAAAGAAAAACGTATAATACCTTAAAGTAAACTGAAAAAAAAAATAATCCGTCACAAATATAATACGTAAACAAAATACATCGATCGAATGGAACGCGCACGCATACGCACACATACACATACGCTCGATTCCGTGTTACACTCGTCCCGCAATCTTCTTTACGAAGTTACGTAACAACGTGTAACTCGTACGTGTACATTTCCTAATCCGCGATGACGCGTAAGAGATAACGCCCGATCGAATATTCTGCCGAATAGGGATTAAAGATTACGATCATAATATCGATAACATCGTAACAGTAATTTGCAAACTTGATACTCCTCGCTGCTTTCCATTCCACCGAATATACTGCTAGCGTATAATTACGATACGAGGAGACGGCAAAGGAGATTAAAATTATGTGCGCACACTCGAGCGAGATTCTTCTGCGCATCGAGTTCCGTTAAATAGTGAATTTTTTTCCTTTCCCAATATTGACCGAAATTAATCATTTGTCTTGAAACGAACGAAAGTAAAATATATTTTACCATTCTTATACGCGTTATTATTATACGATATGAGGAGGAAAGAAAGAAAAGGATCATAATTTTCCTTTTACGAGGAAGAGAAAGAGAGAGGAAGGATATAATATAATCGCGCGGACGTAGAACTTGAGAAGGCATCGCGTGCGACTATTGCAAAAGCGCGATACCAGCAACGTCGCGTGCACTGACGTATCTATGAATAAATAGAATTACGCTAATCGTGTAGGTTACATCATAATATACGGAACTACTCATACGCCGCCGGCGTAGATACGTGGCCTTCGCCGCGTCTTTTTCCTCGACTACGTAGGAAACTATTGTCGAGCAGGGGATCGCTCCTTCTCCAAATTCTCTCCTCTCCTTCCTCTCGTCTCCTCGATTCTCGATTTTCGTTCTTAAGTATTGAAAATCGAATTGATTTAATTTAATTTTTTTGACTTTTGGAAATTTTATAATTCGAAAGTTATTTTTATTAATCCAGGCGGAGGATGTAAAGTGTTTCTGGACGCGATTTTATTTGATACTTTGAAAATTATTCGAAAATAAGGTTACGATCGAATTTTTTATTTTGGAAATTTACGAGCGAATAGAAAATTAATATTTCCTTCGATTTCTTTCTAACAATAATTCCTACTATATTTAAAAAGATATCATATCCAATTTATTTACTAATTTAATTAGAAATCTTGAGAGGCTTTAAAATTTTCATTGCACCTTCCTTGCAGGGAAAAATAAATTGAACCTCGCTCCAGATTCTTAGAAAGGATACGTAAGAATTTCTAATTTCTAAATATCACACATGATCGAGAAAAATCGAGAGAAATCATTACCACGTTTTCATTTAAATTATCCCTCGACGTTTTTAGACAGAAAATAGACGACAAACTACGATAACGTATTATTTGCACTATTTTCATTTAAATTACATAATGCACGTTTATCGAAGAAGCTCGATAATTTTACATTTTCAAATGTGACGCGTCGCCATGTTGCTCGAAACAAATTTCTCGAAAAAGAAAAAAAACGCGTTCCATTCCAAGAAATTAGACAAAACTGTTCCAACAGATTTCATTGGAAATCGAGAGAGAAAGAGAGAGAAAAAGGAAAAAACTGTTCCTGCACATTGTTGCACTGTTATACGATAACTGAACACGAAGAAAAAGGGATATGAAAAAAAGGGAAAAGCGAGTGCTCGATGAAGCGTGAATTTGCAACGGTGTATGCAATGCATCTGATATCTCTGATGGAAAAAAAAAAAAATAGTAAAAAGTATATATCACAAGGAGCGATATCGATAATTGGTGGCAAATTCGATACGATCCACTATTTCGCGAGAAAGACTTAAATATCAAGTATATATATATATATTGATTTTTCGAGGAATTTTAATCCGTGCAGGAAATTTATTAACAGTGAAATGCACGAGTATGGTCAATCGAGTTGACTTCTATTCCAATGAATTGGGAATTAGAAAAGGAATCGGGTGGTTGGAAACTTGATTTATCGCTATATAAGTAAATTGATCTACAAGAAACGAGTATATACTTTTGTTTTAGAGGTGTGCGTGGTTGGCATTAGACGGAAGTCGAGTCGAGTTAATTGCATGAATTAAACATGCGTAAGATTTTTTTTTTTTTTTTTTTTTTTTTTTTGCGTAAGGAGAAGGAAAAATTGGAAATTTTTTATTTCAACGTGTAGAAATTTATTCCTATCGATTTCGGTATTTGGAATTTGGAGGATGACTTTCAAGCTCGCGTTGTTACTTGAAAATGAATCTGTTTTAACAAATTATCAAGAAGCTTGTTCCAACGATAGCTCTTGATCCAATGATAACTTGCAAGCGTTCTCGGTCGAACGATCATTTATTTCGAGCAACAAGATCTATATGTCAACCTATTGAGATTCTAACATGGAAAAAAGCGGATATAAGAAGCGAAAAACCAGTTTGCAACTACCGCTTGTCAACGTGTAAGCTGTATTAATCAAACCATTCAAATGCTTCATCATATCTAGATTCATTCTCTATTGTGTCCAACTAGTTATCCGATTTATTTTTAAGTATTCCACTTTCTATTTGTTATTTTAATCCAACAGAAGGACATATCTTGTGAAAAATTGGTAGTAACAAGAAATTAGAGTTTTTAAATCAATGGCAGTCTGTACATGATTATTAAATTTCATCATTGGTATTATTCTGTTATTATCTTTTATCTTCTAAATATCATCATTTCTCAATCTAATTTTTCAAATTAAACGACAAGACTGCTATTAATACACTTTTATCGCTTAAATTATCATTTTCAATCATATACTCTCACCTCAAATACCATGATCTTATTGCTTTATATCATAACACTGTTACTCAACATTTTCTATATATTATCTCTTCCTAAATTATCATTTTTATTACTTTCATTACCTTTATTACTATCCTTGACGTTATCTCTCCCTAATTATCACTTCAAATACCATAGCTGCAAGTACCATTAACAAATATATACTTTCTTATCCCACTATCTCATAATTCCAACATAAAATTCAACATTTTCTATATATTATCCATTCCTAAATTATCATTTTAAATAGTTACAAGTACTATCAATAAACATAACAACTTTCTTATTCCAAATCTTACTATCTCCTATTACTATCTTTTACATTATAATTCCAACATGTAATTCAACATTTTCTACATATTATCACATATTATCTCTTCTTAAATTATCATTTTAAATAGTTACAAGTACTATCAACAAACATACTTTCTAATTCCAGATCCCAATATCCCATTATAATTCCAATTCTACATACTATCCTTCCCTAAATTATTTCAAATATTATAGTTACAAGTATCACCAATAAACATAACAGTTTTCTTATTTCAAATCTCCTTACTATTACTATTATCCTCTATATTATAATTCCAACATGTAATTCAACATTTTATATACATTGTTCCTCCCTAAATTATCATTTCAAATATTATAATTACAATTATCAATAAACATACACTTTCTTACTCCAAATCCCACTATTACTAATTCCAACATATAATTCAACATTTTCTATCATATTTCTATTCTTTTCTATTATATTATCCTTCCCTAAATTATTATTTCAAATACCACAGTTACAAGTACAACCAACAAATATAACAGCTTTCTTATTCCAAATCCCAATATCCTATTATAATTCCAACATGCAATTCAACATTTTCCACATATTATCCTTCCCTACTCACTTTACTTCCTTCACTATCCTTCATATTATAATTCCAAGATATAATTCAACATTTTCTATATATTATTCTTCCCTGCTTATTCTACTTTACTTATTATCCTTTATATTATAATTCCAACATACAATTCAACATTTTCTACATATTATCTCTCTTTAAGTTATCATTTTAAATAGTTACAAGTATACTATCAACAAACATAACAACTTTCTTATTCCAGATCCCAATATCTCATTGTAATTCCAATTCAACATTTTCTACATATTATCCTTCCCTATATTATTTCAAATACTATAGTTACAAGCTTTCTTATTCCAAATCCCACTATCTCATTATAATCCAACATTTTCTACATTTTCCTAAATTATCACTTTTATTACCTTCATTACTATTCAACATTTTCCACATATTATCCTAAATTATCATTTCAAATACCATAATTACAACTACCACCAACAAACAAACGTGACAACTTTCTCAACACCAAATCCCACTATCTTATATCCCATATATACTATCCAATACAATTCCAACTAATACAAACTCTCAATACTATAACTCTCAACCAGTATTACATTCTCCTATACATCATCTTCCATCCCTTATTCAATTATTATCACAACCGACGCGATTACTTTTTACAGAAGTTCGTGTTCCACGGTTTACTTCGGCGACATAGGTACGGGATCGGGGGTGGGAGAAGTAACCGCCGCCTCGGCGGGGGGTGGCGAAGGTCTCAGCCTGACTCCAACCCCCGCCACCAGCAACACCGACGACACCACCACGACCACCGCCACCCCCAGCACCACCACCATTACCATCGCCGCCACCACCACCACCGCCGCCGCCGCCGCCGCCGCCACCACCACCACCACAGCCACCGCCAACCACACCACCCCGCGGATCGTGACGGGGGCTGAACCGCCCCAGCACATGGAGACACCCTCGACGATGGTCCCCGACCAGGCACCCGCCTCCGGCCATCACTACCACCGCGGCCACCACCACCACCACCACCACCACCACAACCATCATCATCATCATCATCATCAACGAAGCGCCTCCACCACCCCCACCCACGGACCGCCCACCACAGACACCTCGGACGAGTTCGTCGCCGTTTCCAGGAAGCGGAAACTGTCCTGCCAGTAAGTTAATTTTTTCTCCTTTTCTTTTTCGAGAAGGAAGAAGAAATTTTGTTTGTCGCTCGCTTTCTTCTTTTTCCCTTTTTTTTTTTTTTTTTTTTTTTTTTTTTTTTGATTAAATTGGATCGGTCTTTCAGGGATTGGATTACGATATACAGATAGGGAAGAATTGGAATTTTTGGTGAATTTATTACGTAAGATTCGTAAGATTTAATTTCAATCGAGAAAAAGTGTAAGATATTACTCCACACGCGTACCTCCATACAATTGAAATACAGACGGAAGTCGTACAGAATATTCAACTGTTACACACATTAACCCATTGCCTATAGATCGAGGGAGGGAGGGAGTGGAGAGAGCATACGGAAGCCAGATAAACGCATTCGAGAGTGACATTTCCATCTGGAAACATATTTCTCTCCCCCCCGGTTTCAACCCTTCTTGCCAATCGACACCCCCTTCCCCTCTTTTCGACCACGTTTCTCTTCCAAGCCAAGTTGGAGTAATTACTCCAATCAAGGTGTCGGTTACCCGCTCAAAGGGTTAAGTTAATCATTAACTTAGAGGCCAAGATTCGTCTCTCTCTCTCTCTCTCTCTCTCTCTCTCTCTCTCTCTCTCTCGCTCGCTCGGTTTCTCTCTCGCTTTCTCTCTCGGGGGGCCCGGTCGAAGCTCGCGGTCGAAATTGAGCTTCGGTTGAATCGACGGCCTCCCTGACCGGAATCTATCCAATTTCGAGTTCGAGGCGAGTTTTCAAAGCGCGTNGGGGGGCCCGGTCGAAGCTCGCGGTCGAAATCGAGCTTCGGTTGAATCGACGGCCTCCCTGACCGGAATCTATCCAATTTCGAGTTCGAGGCGAGTTTTCAAAGCGCGTCGAAATTTTTCTCCCCTAACTTTCCTATCTTCCTAACATCGAGCCTGAATTTCTATCTTATATGTACAATGTGAGGTGGAAATTGTATAAATATTTTTTTTACTTGTTAAAAAAAAATTGTATATATATTAATTTACGTAGGAATATTACTCGATGAAGTCGACTCTTTTTTCTTTTTTTAATTATTAATTTAAAATATAAATTCTGTGCAACATTAATTATTCCTGATTTCTGATACGATAATTATAATAAGGTTTACAATCGCTTTTGATTTGAATAATTGGATGAGATTATTAAACCATTTGGATAAATTTTCACTTAAATTTAGAATGAATATTATCCAAGGGGAAGGGGGAAAAAAAAAAAAGAAAGAAAATGTGAAAATTAAGCGTGTCTCGAGAAGCTTACGAAGCAGTGGGAAGGAGGAAAGTTGGTGAAATTTTCAAAGGGGTCCACCACCACCCAAGAAATTGATTCGTTAGTTACATACCCTTGCTGTTTCTTGACGTTTCGCGTAGGTCTTCCTTTAATTATTATTTACATTTACATTATTCCCCATAGTCTAACGAAAGTTAAAAAAAAAAAAAAAAAAAAGGGAACCATAATTTCCTATACACGAAATAACGAAACGTTAAATTTACGATTTGTAATACTCTGTGAATAAAAAATGCTCTAACCCATCTACAACGATTCTATTTTCTTTCTGTTCCAGCGACGGTAGTGATTTATTGGACGACGCGGGAGACGATGCCAAATCAGTTCGCACAAACGACGACAGTAAAAAGTAAGCATCGTATAATAAACCGATTGAAAGTGATAATAATAATAATAATAATAATAATAAAAAAATCGATTTAGTCAATTTCGAAGGAATCGAAATCAATAATCGAATCGTGGAAACCGCGACCCGTTCCCAATTCGAGCGAGGAAACCGCATCAACGTGTTTTTAAAAGCTTGGTCAACGGTTACGCGTTGTATTATGTCAGGTATTATTGCCAAGGTACGCTCGCCACCTTGACCCACCTTCGTTCCTTCCTCTGGCTTCGTCGATCGCGTCATTAATCCAATCTACTCTTGTGCCAATGTCGATTTTAAGGGAAATAATTAAGGGAGGGAGGTTACATCGAATCGAAAAAATTCGTTAACTCTCTTTAAGATCTTTTTTAAAAAACGAAACGATGAAGAAAGATAATAATAATAATAATAATAATAATAATAATAATTGAAATCTTGTGCTAATGTCGATTTTAAGGGAAAGAAATAAGGGAGGGAGGTTACATCGAATCGAAAAAATTCGTTAACTCTCTTTAAGATTTTTTTTAAAAAAAGGAAAGGTTGAAGAAAAAGAATAATAATTGTGCCAACTCTTGTGCCAATGTGAATTTTAAGGGAAAGAATTAAGGGAGGGAGGTTACATCGAATCGAAAAATAATGCCGATCCCTTTAAGATTTTTTTAAAAAACGAAACGATGGAGAAAGAGAATAATAATTGGACTCTTGTGCCAATGTGGATTTTAAGGAAGAAACGGGAAAGGAAATAAAGGAGAGAGGTTAGAGAGATAATAATAATAATAATTGGACTTTTATGCCAATGTGGATTTTAAGGGAAAGAATTAAGGGAGGGAGGTTACATCGAATCGAAAAATTCGATAACTCTCTTTAAGATCTTTTTAAAAAACGAAACGATGAAAAAAAAATAATAATAATAATTGGACTCTTGTGGATTTTAAGGAAGGACTTTAAAGAATTAAGGGAGGGAGGTTACATCGAATCGAAAAAATTCGTTAACTCTCTTTAAGATCTTTTTAAAAAACAAAGCAATGGAGAAAGAGAATAATAATTGGACTCTCGTGCCAATGTAAATTTTAAGGGAAAGAATTAAGGGAGGGGGGTTACATCGAATCGGAAAAATAACGCCGATTCCTTAAGATATTTTTTTAAAAAACGAGGCGATGAAGGAAGAGAATGATAATTGGACGCGTTGATGACGTTCAGATTAATAAAGAGTGGGCGAGTAATAGTGGTTGTGGTTGGGCTCGAATAAATCGAAACTAGTTTCTCGTAGCCGCGACTTCCGGCCCGGCCAATTGATCGCCACGGAGGCATGAATGCGAATTCCTCACGGTCAAATCACAATCGTGATGCGACGCAGCTCACAAAAGCGGCGTTTATCAGCTTGAATCGCCTTTATTTATAATTGATTCCCCTCCCTCCTCCGGCTGGATCGTCGCGTGTTCTTCTTCTTCGAGAAGGAGAAGAAGTTTAACTCGCCATCTCTTCGATATCTCGCGCTTCTCCACGATTACAGCAATTTTTTTCTGTATTCTCTTCTCTCGCGTTTCGATTACGTATCTTTTATAAAGGAGGATGATGAAAAAGGGGATCGACGAGAAAGAAAATCTCTCAGAGTCTGTATCTAAAGTCCTTATATAGTTTCCAAAAAAAGTTTCTCGAAGAAATTTCTAATAAAAATCTTCATTGGCAAAGGATCTTTTCCATTTCCCTTAAAAAGCATTCCAAAATTTCACATCTATCTCGAAAAAAAGTCTCCAAAGTATATCCAAAAAATTCGCAAAAAGTCCCTATAAAATTTCCAAAAAATTCCTAGAAAAGTTCTCGAAATGTTTCGAAGAAATTTCTACTAAAAACCTGCATTTGGTTGCCAAAGGATCCTTTCCTTTTTCCTTAAAAATTTCCAAAATCTGATTCACTTATCTTAAAAAAAAACTAACCAAAGTACATTCAAATGATTCGCAAAAAATTCCTAGAAAAACTTTCAAAATATTTTGAAGAAATTTCTACTAAAAATCTGCAATTGGTTGCCAAAGGATCCTTTCCTTTTCCCTTAAAAAGCATTCACCCAAAATTTCACATCTATCTCGAAAAAAAGTTTCTATCTAAAATACATTCAAAAGATTCGCAAAAAAATCCCTATACAATTTCCAAAAAATTTTTAGAAAAGTTCTCAAAGTGTTTCGAAGAAATTTCTACTAAAAATCTGCATTGGTTGCCAAAGGATCCTTTCCTTTTCCCTTAAAAAACATTCACTCAAAATTTCACATCTATCTCGAAAAAAAGTCTCTATTTAAAGACACATTCAAAAGATTCGCAAAAATATCCCTATAAAATTTCCAAAAAATTCCTAGAAAAACTCCCAAAATGTTTCGAAGAAATTTCTATTCAAAAGGATCCCCAGAATTTCCAAAATCACGTGTATCTGGAAAAACGGCTCGAATTCTAAATTTCTAAAAAAAAACGATTATTATTATTTTTCCCCTTTCCCTTTCCCCTTCGTTGTTCTTTCAGGCAAAATCACAGCGAGATCGAGAAAAGGAGAAGGGACAAAATGAACACGTACATAACCGAGCTTTCGGCAATGGTGCCCATGTGCCACGCCATGTCCCGCAAACTCGACAAGCTGACCGTGCTCAGGATGGCTGTCCAACACTTGAAGACCATTCTGGGCGCCGTCACCTCGTACACGGAGGGCCACTACAAGCCGGCGTTCCTCAGCGATCAAGAGCTCAAGACGCTCATACTTCAAGTGAGTAGTACTAAAATCGAAAATAAATTAAAAAAATATCCACCATCTTGTTTTAAAAACATTTTTAAATTTTCGATATGGAAACGAAAAAGATTCGGCAAGTTCGAGATGTTGATTTATCGAGGATTGGAAAGGAACGAAGAAGCGTAATAAACGATTCCATGGTATCGAAACGATGGTATTATTGCTTCGTTAGAAATGCAAACGTCGAATCGTATCGAATCACGTACGACGACGTTGCGCTTTATTGCGTCCCGTTTTATTTATTAAACAGCGGATAAATGTCAATAGGTTTTTTCCTCGTCCCGTTTCAAATCGAGTCCACATTTTTCCCGCTTCTTTTTTCGAAATTCGAGATGAAGGAACGATTTCGAACACCTCGAACGAGATGAGCAGATACGAAAGGAATCGTGGATCGTAAACTGTCGACGCAACATTGTGATTCGGCCGATAAGTTTTTAACGCGGCGGCTATTACACGGCTCGTTGCGTCATTGGAAGATATGCCAACCTGTCGAATGGCGCGCGGTATGAGTCGCGGAGAGAAGTCGCGAAACCTCGTTGCGCAACCACGGGATCGAATTATTGAAAATTTTCTGCACTCGATCGAGGAAATTTTAATTTTTTCGAACTCGAGATATCTATAAGCTGGAAAATAATCCACTTTCCTCTCTAAAAATCAAATTTACAGAGTTAATTGTCGAAAAATATCTTCATCTCTTCCCACTACTATTCCTATTAAAATAATACAAAAATTGATTACGCACGAATACGTCGAATATGTCGAGGTTCAAAATTTAAAAAAAAAAGAGAATAATAATCTTTATCTTGCTTTACTACTTGTTATTAAAATAACACAAAAGTTGGTTGAAATATACGGTCGAGTAGAAAAAGAGAAATGATAATAACGCGTGATTCGAGCGGTGGTTGATAGGCGTTATTATTGCTACGATTGCAAAAGGAAAGGGAGAAACGGGTATATAGTTCGGCTAAAAGTCTGAAAGTGACCGATTCCGACGATGAGATTATACGCCATTACCTATTCCGTATTCGGAAAACGAGATAGGAGATACGATTGTGCATACCATTCGAGTAAGACTTCCTGGTATTTCAGAATCACTTGCGTAATTCGAATAGCTCGCCTCGAACACGTTTTCTTTATATATATATATCATACGCGACAATTTCGTTTCACCTTTTCATCAATTTTCCACTAATTGAAGATAATTAGATAAGCAACAACTGGATCGTACATAAGAATCGACGTTTTTATTTTTATTACACTTGCAATATATCTTTTTCGTACTTTACACAATTTTTCAGAACAAATGAGGAAAAAGGAGCGATGCGAATCCCAATACTCGTTTCCAATTACGTATAATTATTCCATCTTTCGAATAATTGTAATCGATAAAATAATCTTAAATTATTGTGGAGGAAAATATTTTTCACGAGGAAAAGAAAAAAAAAAAAAGGATCGAAGGCGAGACGAAAGAATTCGATGAAACGATCGAACGAAATCATCGGTCACGGAAGGGTTTCACTTTCGACTCCCTCTCCGCGTCCGTTTTCCCATGCGAGTTCGCAAGTGCGATCGCGTTAAAGCCAAAGTCATTAATCCGCTAATTGGAAGCAATGCGGGGGAAAAGTTTTTACTCGTAGCTCGTTGTAAAAGGCCGTCCCGTGCGTTTTGCAATCGTAAGAGACTGTTAACAGTGGTTCCCTTATTCGAAATCGAATAAGAAACGAAAAATTCTCTTAAATTATTACCATCATCGATTCTTGTAGAATAGAAAACGAAGAATATTTCCACGATTATCCTCACAATCGAAGCAATTATCCATTATTTCCAATACTTCCGTTTGAAGGAAATATTCTCCATTAGAGAACCTCTGGTTTATTTTTTTTTTTCAATTAGAAAGAAACTTTTATTATAATTAAAATTATAAATATTATATATTCAGTAATAATCGACCGTATATAATCAGAAGAGAATTGTGGACAGTTGATCGAAGGAACTTCGCCTCCTGTCACTCGTACTATGATACACGTAACTGAGAACCACTGAACTGTATATAGTATATCTAATAGCCGTGGCTAACCTTTCTCCGGCGTGCTACACATTTTTCACAGAGATCGGCCTCTGTGACGGGTGAAAGAGAAGGGTACGAGGCATGTAGATCTGCAATTACGCGTCGCCGTTGATAATACCTTTTGCCCAAGCCGTTTACCTCGATCGAGCTTCTGAACATCATCGATTATCGACGGGGTATCATCGTATCAACTATCTGTTGATCGTTCTTTCCTACTCGCGAGATTGAAACGCGATTGACTCGAGATATTTCGTGTAATTTTTCTCATTTATTTTTAAAATACGAAAAATAATTATATAAGCAAATTGCAAAAAAAAAAAAAAAGAAACGAAAGCAAGCTGTTTCTTTTATCTTAGCGTTAGAGTTATCTTGCTTATTACTTGTCCGTATCCTTTATCCTTTATATATATATTATGGCTGGCTCGTATTGCTTGGCTGGTAACGTAAGGCTAATACTAGATTGGATTAAATCATTCGACGTGGACGTGTTATGAAATTGTACAAATTTCCTCTCACGAATGATCATTTCCAAAAAGGGAAAAAAAAAACAACGTCGAGAAAAATCTTTCTCAAAATGTTTCCAACGAGGGAAAGATATCTCGCGATCTCTATCAACATTCTATTTTCACGATCCAATTTTCAAACAAGCTATAAACAAACGTAACAAGTATAACGGTATATTGTTAACGAGTCAAGGTGCAGGGTGTGTGCAGAAACGTACTCGGGTAATATACATACATAAGATGTTTCACGAATGAATTTATAACTGTAAAAGTTCTCGAATGGTATATGAGAAGACAGAATAAAAATTTCATTGAAGTAAAATTAAATAATTCTCCGTATATGTTCGATCTGGAGGCACTTAATTTTAAATAGAACAAATAGAATCTTTATATATATTTTATATATATTTTATATATATTTTATATATATATATATATAACAAAAATATAGAAATACTAATCGAAATTACTCCTAATCAATCAATCAACAAAAAATTTTCAACGTATAATACGTTGTAAAAAAGAAAAAAAAAAAAAGTAGACATAACCTCAAAATCTGTCAAACTCGTCCACTTCGAGCACGTAAGAAACCCAACTTCTTCCATCTCTTTAAGAATCATAACGTAAGAGCGAGTATCGTGTAACGCCCTATACGTACATATTATTATACTCGAGCGAGTCTCGAGTCTTTAAGAATGAGCCTCGACACGAGTTCCTTTTCACTTTAGATTCCGTCACGCGACTGAGCACGGAGCTCGTGTCGGCCGCTTGGCGGGCATTTTTCACTGTCGGCTAGATATACACGGTAAGTAGATAGGTTTATCTTTTATCGGGGCGCTTTCCTTGCCGCGGCGCTCTATCCCGTGCGGCTAAATATTCGAAACGAGTGACCACACCCGGCATACCAACCGGCTCTCGAATCGTAACCCACCACGCCGCGCCAGCCACCATTATTGTCCATTGAAACTTTCATTGCCTCGCCACCGTTCATTACCACCGTCGATACACGTATCCGGTTCGCGGATAAATTAACATTTCCAGGGACGTTAACCATGTAAAACCATGCATCCTTGGATCAACGTCGCGTAAAAAAAAATGGAATAATTGTATCGGTTACTTGTGCCTCTTGGCATCCGAGTTTCTGAAAATAAACGCTTCGAAGGTAAAGATCGGTAACATAACCTCTTTGTTGCGTTATATTCCATTGATACGATGGAACGTATTCGGTTGTAGTTGTAGTCTGTTTTCACCAAATGATTGTAATTAAAGTGATGATAGGTGCGACTTTTTTTAATTGTTTCACTAGACTGATGTTATTAGAAATTTTTAAAATGTATAAGAAAGTGATGAAACGTACAACTTTGTTATAGAATACGCGATTTTTTTTTTTTTTTTTTTTTTATAATGAAACACGATAGATAAAACATTATCTAAAGTGAAAAAAGAGTTTATAATCCAGTTGCCGTAAATTTATTATGCCTGTAGATTAAATTATTTTTTAGATCTTGAATCGAAATAAATGAATCGATAATTAAAAGCTTGGGGGAAAAATTGATACAATTGATACAAATATCCTATATCTCGAAACTTATTAATTCCTAACATATTTAACACGATAATTGTGTGACAATAAAAATAGAATCATGAAATTTTTCCATTAGAGATTTTTCAACCGAATGAAAAAAATAATAATAATTAATTATCCCGTATTTTAGATATATTCTCATTATGCAAATACCGATTAAATAAAACTGTCCATTAATCGATGAAAAACAATTTTTCTGATATTTAATCAATATACCGTGATGAAATATAAATTTATTAGACGTCAGGTATTAAAGACGAACAATATTATTTGATTCATGCATTTTTATCGATAATGTCTTATTTAGCATTTTATTAGTTTTTTTACATCGAACGATAACGTGCAATTATACAGATACGCATCTACGAACGTTACAACATCTTTCCAAGGAATATTATGCAGCCAGTTATTACTTCACGGGACATCCATCGATTGAATTGATTAACCACTACATTATAACTGCATTTTTGCCATTTAAAATATCCGTAAAGATTCTTCTTTCTTTAAACTTCGATATTTTAAATAAAAATTGATAATTACGCAGAAACGAGGATCTTAAAAATCAATTATGTTAAATTTCGAATATATTGTAGCGAATAACAACACTTTTTCACATTTTTTCATTCTGCCTTTTTTATCGACGGTATCCTATTTTTACCCACCGAGTTTTTTAACCTGACTTACCATACTTACACATGTCAAATTGGATTGAATTAGGTTAGGAAATTATCACATTCTAATCGTTCATCTTTGACGCAAAAAATTATTCACTTTCAGAGAAATTTCTTTCTCTGACAGACGTTTGCAAAACGTTCAATCT